CTGTGCCTTCAGGATTGGTTTCTGGAGAATTGTCATTTTCCTTCTGATCTGAATTGTTGCTGTAGTTTCTCATGATGTTTGATAAACTAATCTTTTGTCAGTGCATTTGTGGTAGTCTTAGGTCACAGATTCCAACTGCTACCACTAGGGGGAAGCAGAAGCTGTGTTTCTGATCCCACCACATCTGCTGAAAGTTGTGTGGGTACTATGGGCACTTGGGCTGGCCAGGAGAGTATCCAGGTGTGTGTATAGATCTGCCACAGCCTCTTAGGGTCACGCTGGGCACTGTGCTTTGTGGGTGGGCTTCCTTGTGGGATCTGAGCCTGGGCCACTCCCTGAGGACACAGTGGCACGATGGCCTCTCTCACTGCTGGGAAAGTGATCACGATCAGGCTAAGGGGTGCTGCTGCCTCTTCCTACAGTTTCCCTGAGCACGTTCACGCTTTCTGGATGCAGTGGCACTATGGGCACTAGCACCAGCCAGGAAATCATTCATGTGCATGCACAGGGCTGCTGGGGAAGGACAGGGGAATGCTCACCTATCTCCACCACTTCCTGGAGGGGCAGTCCATCCATCTTCAGATGTATAGCTGCCTAGGTCTCTCAGGCATCCTGTTGTGCTGTGTGGGTTTCCTCCATTTGTCAATGATTGTCCATTTAGTTGTAGTTCAAAGGGGGAGAGATAAAGGGAACAGCTCACTGTGCTGTGTTGCTGATGTCACTCCATAAACTTTTTCTTAATCCAGAATTTTAAGTTGTCTTCAGGACAAGGCTTTGTCTGAAAAGATTATTCATGTTAGGTCATATTTCCCAATTCCTAGGCTTCAGTTATTTCCAATACTTATTGTCTGCTCATTTTGACTCTTGCCCCTATTCTCAAACCTATTGTAGCAGTGCAGTCATGGTAGACAGTCAGCATACTGCTCTGTCCTACCTCAAGTGTCTTTCTCCTATTCTCTCTCAGGCTTTCTTCAAGCTGTGAATAGAAGCCCACTTTGCACAAGCACAGCATGAAAGTTTAGGGATGTTTAAGAGCCATCTCGTAACTCTCAATCAATGGGAAACATGAGTTGTTGGATCAATCCCCATAGTGCCATTCAGAGGACAATTATGACATGCATTTTAAATAGTTCTTCAGTTCTTCTATTGAGATTGATCTCCAGTTCCCCACAATGGTCACCAGCTCAGTAATTCACTTTTTTGATTTTTCCATTTCCCCTGTTTTACTCTTGCTTTCACCCTTCTCCCTTTGTCTGGCTTCCTGTTACCATTTCTGAAATAAACCGCAAGCATCCAAGTCTCTTTTCCTGGGAGGAAGAACCCAGGTAGAAACACATTCTCTCCATAGGAGCTTAAGACTTTACTACTTCTCTCATCATTTAAATTAACCTTTAAAGAAACTACATTATATCAGCATTTATGTTAAGAAATATATAGGGGCAAAATTATCATTTCATGCATATGATATATTTGTGTATGTGGGTTCATGTGTTATTATGATCAAATTTCTATAAATTCTTTATTGATATAAAGCACTTTTCAGAGGGAAATTCACTCATTCATGTACTACTGGATATATTATGAATTTGACCAGATGGTGGCAGTGTCTACAAGCCTTTATATCTTAGGTATAGCCTTGTGCTGCATTCACAGGAACTATGTTGTTTCTTTTTTTTTTTCTTAATATTTTTTCTCTTTATTTATTTATTTTAATTTTTTGTTTATTGCAGTAACATTGGTTTATAACATTGTAAAAATTTCAGGTGTACATCATTATACTTCTATTTCTGCATAGATTACATCATGCTCACCACCCAAATACTACTTACAACCCATCACCACACACGTGCCGAATTATCCCTTTTGCCCTCCTCCCTCCCCCCTTCCCCTCTGGTAACCACCAATCCAATCTCTGTCTTTATGTGTTTGTTTATTGTTGTTATTATCTACTACTTAATGAAGGAAATCATACGGTATTTGACCTTCTCCCTCTGACTTATTTCACTTTGCACAATACACTCAATGTCCATCCATGTTGTCACAAATGGCTGCATTTCATTGTTTCTTATGGCTGAGTAGTATCTCCATACTGTTTTCCATAGTGGCTGCACCAGTTTGCACTCCCACCAGCAGTGTATGAGAGTTCCCTTCTCTCCACATCCTCTCCAACACATGTTGTTTCCTGTCTTGTTAATTATAGCCATTCTGATGGGCGTGAGGTGATATCTCATTGTAGTTTTGATTTGCATTTCCCTGATAGTTAATGATTTTGAACATCTTTTCATGTGTCTGTTGGCCATCTGTATATCTTCTTTGGAGAAATGTCTGTTCAGGTCTTTTTCCCATTTTTTAATTGGGTTGGTAGTTTTTTTGTTGTTGAGATGCATGAGTTCTTTATATATTTTAGAGATTAACCCCTTATCAGATGTATGGTTTGAAAATATCTTCTCTCAATTGTTAGGTTGTCTTTTCGTTTTGTTGATGGTTTCCTTTGCTGTGCAGAAGCTTTTTAGTTTGATGTAGTCTCATTTGTTTATTTTTTCTATTGTTTCTCTTGCCTGGTCAGACATGGTGCTTGAAAATATGTTGCTAAGACCAATGTGGAAGAGCGTACTGCCTATGTTTTCTTCTAGAAGTTTCATAGTTTCAGGTCTTACATTCAAGTCTTTAATCCATTTGGAGTTAATTTTTGTGTATGGTGGAAGGTAAGGGTCTACTTTCATTTTTTTGCATATGGCTATCCAGTTTTCCCAACACCATTTGTTGAAGAGACTTTCTTTTCTCCATTGTATGTTCTTGGCTCCTTTGTCAAAGATTAGCTGTCCATAGATGTGTGGGTTTATTTCTGGGCTTTTGATTCTATTCCATTGATCTGTGTGTCTGTTTTTGTGCCAGTACCATGCTGTTTTGATTACTATAGCTTTGTAGTATATTTTGAAATCAGGGAGTGTGATACCTCCAGCTTTGTTCTTTTTTCTCAGGATTCCTTTACCTATTCAGGGTCTTTTGTTGTTCCAAATAAATTTTAGGATTCTTTGTTCTATTTCTGTGAAAAATGTTGTTGGAACTTTGATAGGGATTGCATTGAATCTATAGATTGCTTTAGGAAGTATGGACATCTTAACTATGTTAATTGTTCCAATCCAAGAGCACGGAATATCTTTCCATTTCTTTGTGTCTTCTTCAATTTCTTTCAGCAATATTTTATAGTTTTCCATGTACAGCTCTTTCACCTCTTTGGTTAAGTTTATTCCTAGGTATTTTATTCTTTTTGTTGCAATTGTAAATCGGATGGTATTCTTAATTTCTCTTTCTGCTATTTCGTTGTTAGTGTATAGAAATGCAACTGATTTTTTGTATGTTGATTTTGTATCCTGCAACTTTACCATATTCGTTTATTACTTCTAAAAGTTTTCTGGTGGATTCTTTAGGGTTTTCTATATATAAAATCATATTTTTTCTTAATCTGTGCTTGGGATGGAAAGGCCATGTCTAGCAAATGCAGGAAGAACTACCTGTTAAAGGTCTGTATAAACTTCACCAATGCCCAGCCCACTCAGTCTAGCTGACATCACCTTGACATGTACCAAAATGTTAGGCTTCCTCGCTCACTCATAGAGGCCTGCACACCTGGGTGAATGTCCCCTCCCCCTCAAGCAAACCAGCCTCTTCCTCATTACCACTGACTATATTCCCTCACCACTTATTTCTCTTTGGCCTATCTAGGAGCTACTGGCAGTGCTATGTTGTTGGGAGTTAGACAACTAGTTATGCAGACATGTGGATGCGTGGCCCAGGCACCCCGGCAGGAACTCACTTGGATGATGCTGAGACAGATGGAGTAAACATACTCCTTTTACATATCTCTGCACCACCAAAACAAGGTTTTTTATATACTGTTTGACCCAAATGGCCCTAGAAGCAGACATTGAGATTGATATTCTGGAATTGGACCATTGACCTGTAAGACAATGATACATGGGGTGGTGATAACACCTAGTATGTAGTAGCATCACATTTACCTAAACCAGAGATGAGCAAACTATGGCCCATAGGCTACGTCTGTCCCATTGCCCACTTTTGTAAATAAAGTCTTATTGGAATGCAGCTACAGACGTTGGTTTACCTATTGTTTATGAATGCTCTTGCTGAATAGTTGTGACAGAGACCCCATGGCCTGCAAATCTTGAAATATTTACTATCTGCCCCTTTATGAAAAAGTTTCCATAGACAAGGAGAATGGTGAGGTAACTGGAGAAGTGGAGGAGGAGGGAGGAGAACTCCCTTCATCCTCACACAGGCCAGCTGCCTCAGGCATCTCCCCACTGCACCTCTCATTTTCCTATTATACACTTGCTCCATTTCTTTCCTCACAAACATGCACACCGGGTCACTTTCTTATCCAACTGAATAAACTCCTTTGAAACTGGGCCAGTTGGCTAAATTTCTGAAGAAGGGAAATACCTATGTTAGGAGTTGGTCTGTGTGTTGGAGAAGTAGAAAAATGCTGAGCAAAGTGTCTACCTCTGCATAATGCAATTAATGGTTATTCATTTTTATCTTCACTTTTCTTTGTTTTCTAATTATTTTATTGTAAAAGATAATTGTTTAATTAAATGTATATATATATTAGGGAACATATTTAAAATGTTAAAAGCTCTTCACTATCAAAAGTACTGAGGAATCCTACCAAGAGAAAAATGCTTGAAATATTCTTGGTTTATACAGCTTCTCTTACATTTGTGCCATGAGTTTTCTGGTTTATTGTGTGCCGAGGACACTTCAGCCAACTGGGAGAGATGTATCAAGAAGAGAGGCCACGAAAGCCTTCCAAGATGGGGAGGACAAAGGAAAGTTGGTGGAATGTGCTTCCTACATCGTGGCCGTTGAGTCCTCGTGGACTTTTCTCACTTCCTCTCACCCTGCACCAAACACCGATATTCGTGCTGTAAATGGCTGGTTCAGAATGCCCCTGCTAACTAAAAATACCAGTTACTTTTACTTTCAATTTCAGTTCTATCACACCATGTGCGGTAGAAATGACTAGTATCCTCAGTCTGTTTTAGCTTTTATAAAGGAGGGACAGAGGTGGAAGGAGCAAGTGAGCAAGGGGTGAGAGGCAATTCAGAACTGTCTTGGACCCGTGGTGCCGTGGAACAGGTATGTCCATCTTAATTACATGTAACTTCATCTTCGACTAAACTCTTGATTTTTGATTCAAAGTGACAACCGAGGAATGGGCAGGAAAGGCAGGTTGCCTATTGTCTGGACTGCAGGGGTCCGTGGCTGGCTTTACTTCTGGGGAAGCTAAGCTTCTCCATTTGGACCAGTAGCAGCTGCCAAGTGACAGCCAGACACACCGTGTTTCCCTGGAAGTGCTGCCTCCTGAACCGCAGCTCAGGGCAGCAGCAAGCGGAGTGGAAAAGCCCCCGTGGGAGTCTGCCTGTGGCTAACATTAGAATGCACAGAACAAGACCATCTCCATCAAGGAGCTTACAGGCTATTATAATCTAAAGAGAAAATTTCTTTTTAATCTTTCTATTAGTCATACTTAAGAAAGTCAGAGTGAGAGCTCTGTAAATCTCTACGTAGAAATGAATTTCTTCCCCACATCGCTGATCTTTATTAGTTAAAAATAACTATCTAGTGAAAATTCTCTCTCTGGCCACCCCTCTTGTCTCTTTCATTCCCTCTCTCTCTGTCTTTCTCTCTTCCTGGTGTTTATTGGTTTGTTTTTCATAGAAACATTGGAATCACTTCTACCATTTGTTAAACATATAGAATCTGGGTTTACCAATCCCTTCAGATAATTCTTATGTAGATCAAATTTTGAAAACCAGTCCTGAACAGGATCAAATAGCTACACTTTGTTATTTGAAGCGAAAAGTTCTGTGGCTCATTCATAGCTAAGAAATCACAGATCTGGTATTTATAAAGTTGTTACTGTCACATCTTCCTACAGCTGCCTTTCATCTTCACTCTGAAGAGGGGACTTACAATTCCAGCAGTGATTATAAAGTAGCTGTTAGAGGCTCATGTTTTACTTCCATGTTCTTTTCTTCCCAGACTAAAGAATCAGACGAAAGAAGATGTTGCAGGATCTGTGTGTTTGACTTGCTTACTGTTTTTTTCTGACAAAAATTTTATCTGTAGACCTTGTTTCTTAGTAATCTAAAGTTTACAGATACTGTTGAAATGCATAAACTAATGGATCAATTTGCTCAATGAAATTATTGTAGATTAATCTCCACCTAATTCAACAAACATATACTGAAATTGTATTTTGTGTTGCATGCTATGCTAAGATATAAGCTTATAGTACCTAATTTTATTATCAAAACGTCCTCCAGGCTGCACCTATATTTTTACTCACATTACCCCTATAATCATTTTAAAAACTTAGGTGACACTGCCTGTTTAAGGCCACACAAGTACTAATTGATAGAGCTGGTTTTGTTTTTTTTTTAATGGGAAGTCTATTTTATTTTATTATTATTATTTTTAAATTTAATTACTTTTTGAGGTTAGGGCCTGTATTTTTGACCATATTAGATTCATCTTTTCTTTTTCAATTATTACATTGAGGTCATAATGTTTTATAACATTGTGTAATTTCAGGTGTACATTATTATTTATCAATTTCTGAAAAGATGGCATCATGCTTACCCCCAGTAGTCCAATTTTTACCTGGAAGCATACATATGTGACCCATTACCCCTTTCGCCTACTCCCACGACCCCCTTCTTCTCTGGTAATCACTAATCTGTTCTCTTTATCCACGTGTTTATCTTCTACAAATGAGTGAAATCATCCAGTGTTTGTCATTCTCTGTCTGGCTTATTTCGCTTAACATCATACCCTCAAGGTCCATCCATGTTGTTGCAAATAGCACAGATTTGTCCTTTTTTATGGCCAAGTAGTATTCCATTGTGTATGTATACCACACACTTCTTTATCCATTCATCCATAGAAGGACACTTTGGTTGCTTCCACACCTTGGCTGTTGTGAATAGTGCTGCAATGAACATAGGGGTGCATAAATGTCTTTGAATTGTTGATTTCAAGTTCTTTGGATAAATACCCAGTAGTGGGATAGCTGGATCATATGGTATTTCTATTTTTAATTTTTGAGATGTATCTGTACTGTTTTCCACAGTGGCTGTACCAGTTTGCATCCCCACCAGCAGTGTATGAGGGTTCCCTTTTCTCCACATCTTTTCCAACCTTTGGTATTTTTTTGTTCTGGTAATTACAGCCATTCTGACAGGTATAAGGTGATGTCTCACCGTAGTTTTGATTTGCATTTCCCTAATAATTAGTGATATTTTCTGCCACTTTATTTCCTTCCTTTGAATGAGCCATAATTTATTTTCTTTTTCTTTCCCTGTCCTCTGATTTTTTTATTGTGGTTGAAAATAGGGCATTTATAAAAACAGCCACATTTTCCATTCTTTGCATATTGGTTTTGTGCCAAGGAAGACTTTTACTAATTAGATGGTCCTTGGTTTTGAGAATTGGGGTTAACCTAAGGAGAAACCTCCAAGTCTTTTTAGGTGTTTTCTGAGCATACATCTTCCATGGGACTGTGTGTGGCTTTTTCACTTTTCACATAGACATGCTCTCAGCCTTTGTTTATCTGGGAATGTCT